ATAATTCTTCTCCATTTTGCTGGCACAGCAATTCAAGAAGGCATCTTGGAAGAGATGATGGGTCACCCATGACTTCTTCTTGCTCCTGTAGTCCACTGACAGTGTGTGCTTATCAATATGCTTGAAGGCCCTGGGGTTCTTACTGTGCCAGACCATGAAGAGTTTCAATTTGTAGCCTGCAACATTGTCCCCAAGCAAGACTGTTATCCTGTCCTTACAAGCTTTGGAAACCTGGAATTGACTTAGCCTCCTTTTGGATGAAAGTCCTTTCACGCATCTGTTTCCAGAATAGTGAGATTTTATCCATATTGAATATTTGCTCTGGCAAGTAATTTTCCTCCACAATCAGCTTATCTAGAGTTTCCAAAAATTCTTCAGCTACTTTCACATCAGCACTCGCAGACTCGCCACTCACTTTCACATTCTGTAATGAATAATGATTCTTGAATCATTTAAACCATCAAGAGCTAGTTGTAAATTCAACGTCATAATTGGGTCTAGCTTTTCTTTCAACATTGCAAACAAACTTTTTGCTTTAGCTGTGATTGTCATGGTGCTCAGAGGGATTCAGTTTTGTGTCTGGTCTTCAATCCAGGTCATTAGAGTTTCTTCATGTCTGATATAGGCCCTTCTTAAATTTTTGTTAGTCTTCTTGCCTTCAATGAAGCAGATCCTTTAACAGCTTCCATCACTTTGTTCTTATTCTTCAAGATCTAAGTTATGGTGGAATGGGATATGCCTGACTGGTGAGGAACAACCATCACTGATTTTCCACTTTTGTAGTGCTTAATCACTCTTAATTCCGTTTCCAGATCAATTGTTCAACATGGCCTCTTATTGGCAACTTTAGCAGTGCATTTTGTATGCTTAGGGGCCATGACAAAAAAAAACGACACAAGCTTAAATCAAGCACAAGAGAAAATAATGCAATCAAAAGACGTGGTAAACACAAGATGTATGAGGCTGCTCCCAGCATAACACAGCATACTATTTTACAGTAAACTTTTTTTATAAGTAGAAAGAGTACACTCTAAAACAACAGTAAAAAGTATAATAAATACACAAACCAGTAACATAGTCATTTATTATCAAGTATGATGTACTGTACAAAATTGTACGTGCTATGCTTTTATATAACTGTCAGAGCAGTAGCTTTGCTTACACCAGCATCACCACAAACATGTAATAAGTAATGTGCTGCAGTATAACATTACGATGGCTATGATGTCACTAGGCAATAGGAATTTTTCAGGCCCATTATCATCTTGCAGGACCACTGTTGTACATAACGTTCATTGTTGACCAAAATGTTATCACGCAGCACATGACTAGATCATATAACTATTCATTTTCTTTATCTCACATTTCACATTAAAAACCCAAAATGCATTAAAAAATTACCACTACCACTACAAATACTAAGAACATTAAATTCTTTTGAAAGTTCTGTCCTATTCTCTAAAGAATATCCCACTACAAATACATACTCAAATTACTGTTTTATAGTCACTTGAAAAAGTTCCTCTCTGTGTGTTATGGAATATATTGATAGGTTGATTTGCTTCACTTTATTTTCAGTTTTGAGATCTCTTTTCAAAAGTTAATTTGGTTTTTAACTTAACAAAAATAAACTTTTTGTTTAAATTTTATTCATTTATTTTATTTATTTAAATTACTTTTAGCTTTGAATTTAAAACTCTAAGCTATAAACCTAAAAAGCCTATATTTAAATAAGTCTAGCTTCTATTCCTGTCCTCTTCACCCTATTTTCTCCTTGTCCTTAAAGGTAACCCTCTTTTAAAAAAAATTCATTTATTTTTCTTTTTTTTCATTGTAAGCAAGTGTTTACACATTTTTCTAGTTCCCTTTTCTTAAATGATAGCATACAAAGAACACATTTCACTACTTTGCTTTTTTCACTTAACACTATATTCTGAAGATCATTCCACAGTGGTATATAGATATTCCTCATTCCTTGTTACAGCTGCATTGTACGCCATGTGTGCAAGTGCCGGAATTTATTTAACCAATTTCCTTATAGGCACATGTGGCGGTACTTCCATTCTTTGAGTGTTACTACTTGTAACCCTATTCACTAACCATAATGAATAGTCATGGAAATACATGTTTTCATATTTTTGCCACTATAGTCACGCGCCGCATAAGGACGTTTTGGTCAAGGACAGGCCACACATAGGATAGAGGTCCCATAAGATTAGTACCATATAGCCTAGGTGTGTAGTAGGCTACTCCATCTGGGTTTGTGTAAGCACACCCTATGATGTTCACACAATGACATAATTGCCCAACTACTCATTTCTCAGAATGTATCCTCATTGTTACGCAACACATGACTGTATGTCCATGGGATAAATTCCCAGAACTGGTATTGCCGGGTCAATGGCAAATTCATATGTAATTTTGCCAGATATAATTGAGCACATGTGTAACTAAGCAACTTGATGAATTCCAACCAATAAATCAGCATTCAGCTTAAGGTGTCTGTATCTTATGATAGCATATTATTACTATATTTACATACAAAAAGTGGTAAACTTACCACTTGAGGTATCAAAATTCAGCCAAACTTCTTGTGGATAAACTAATCATCAACCATTAGCATCATTATTAAAATCTAATGGCAGTGTTCTACAAAGTGAGTTAAAAAGACCTTTCCCCTGTTTTGATGTTGATGTAGCTGTTATGTGCTTACCCTAAATAATAAAAACATCCACCAAATACTTATTAAAGCACTTTCTAGTACCTTTGATCTTCCCAACAATCATATGCAGTGGTTTTTATTGCATCTTATCAACACAGAGAGGTTTAGTTACGGCAGAAGGTCTCATAGTAAAGTAATGGCAGAGTTGATCCTGACTCCACAAAGACTCTGTACTTGGTATACACTTTGTCAATTTGTTTTTGCTAATAAACTGGCTTATATTTTGGTATACAGAAAATATTTGCAAGTTAGTTGCTGTTTTAAGACATGCAGTAGCAATTTCAAACTATAAGTTAGGAGGGAGGAAGAGAATGTTAAACAAAGATTTTTAAAAATCTCTTCCTCACATTTATAGAAGTAATTTGTATGGTCAGCAATTTCTTCTTACACACTGCACCAAAAATTACTGCACGTGGAAATCAACAGTTTTTTTGTAAAGGCTTAAAAATTAAGTGAAATCTGAATGTAGTATAATTTTTTTGTTAGAACTGAAATACATCGGAACTTTCATTATCTTGAATGAATGCTGTTAATTATGCACTATACTTTACAACAGAAACTTTCATTAGTACTAGTAAGTTTGAGATATAAGATCTTTCCTCTTTGCTTTTTTATCCTCGAAAAGTATTCATTACTACTGAACATTAAAGGGCCGCATGAGGCCTAAATATGCCAGATAATTAGCTTGATTTATTCATTTATTTGTTTACTATTTAAGAACATGGAGGCTGAAGGGCAGTCATATGAAAGTTTAGTTTATGCCAATTTCCAGAGCAGTCATTTTAGATTTTCTCTCTTCTTGGCACTGTTGCTTAAATAGTTATTTTGACAATAAAACATTTAAACGTTTGGAAATATAATGTTTGGTGTTATCTTGTTTACGGTATATTAAAATTTATCCATTGAATTTTTCCTTTTCTTCTTTTGTTTGGTAGTTATCCAGCGTTTAGGCAGAATATTAATATTAAAAGAAAGAAGTAACTCATCTTCCAACATAAAACATTTTGAAGTAAAAAAAAAAAAAAGATTCATCACAAAGAGAGCACTATTATGTATCTATCTGTCTAAGTATACAGTTGTTACAAAGTATGAGTTTACAAACTGAAAATCCAGTATAAATGTTTCATATATGGTATAAAGAGATGCTAAAATTAGAAAGTTATTTAAGTTCTAGGGCACAAAGAAGAAAAAATTTAGATAAAAACAATTTAAATATGATGCTAAATTCAGTCTTACATGGGAGAAGCTTTCTGTTCACAAATTTTCAGTTTTGTGAATTAAAGATCTGTAGTCTCCAAATTATTCAGACTTAACATTTTGGTGCAAGGTGAGTAAATGTCTCTTTCTGAAATGAAACTGATTGGCTCAGATATATTATGACTGAAGGGGTATTACAGCTAAATGGGGGTTGGAAAACAATAAATTTAAATGGAATCCATGATGGTTAGTTAGATGCCAGGCATATTGGGGGAAGGCGGCAAGAAATCTCGGTAAATGTTAATCAACTGTTTAGGCCTTGTTGCAATTTAGCGTGTAAAGAGAAAGTCGGATTCAGAGGAGCCTCCAAGGAGTCCTAAGGTCTTAAGGCGGGCAGGACTGGGTTTGCTGCCTTTTTAATGCAATAACTCTATCTTATTAATTCATAGGTCAGACCCAGTCAGAGCATGTGTGTCATCAATCCCCTTAGGAATAACTGTGTGGAAAGCAAATCTCATGGATTCTTCCCCATGTCCTATACGCAGTGATCTTAAGCTTAACGGATGGCAGAATACTTGATCCTTTAGTTAAGAATACCAAGAGGTAGGGAAGAAAATGGGGCGGAAGGTGAAGGCAAACAGTTTGTAGTATGTAGAGAAGGAGGTAACAATAAGTCCTCTTAAGACAACAAGCAGTGAAATTTACCAGGAAAGGTACTGTTCAGTATAACTTTTAGGGCTCATAGTCACTGAATATTAAATGAATTAATAATTAAATTATTAAATGTTGATGGAATCATAATTTTACATATCAAGAACAATATGATTTCCTGTGAATTTTTTTTCCTTAAGCACCCCAAAAAGGCATTGGTGCAGGGAACTGAGAAGCAACTGAGTGTTAAGAGGGGAATGGACGATCAGATGATGTTAAAAACAAATCTCAAGGTTAACAGATATTTTCTATACCCATCCACAATCTATCCACAACTTCCCATTTTCCGAGTATTAAAGGCCTCCGCTTTCATTAATCTCTTCCTTTAGGTCCTGGCAGGTTCCATCTTTTCCTCTCTCTGGTAGGATACCTTTGATATTCTTCAAATCTGGTTTCAGCAGCATAGAACTTTTCACATTTTGTTTTGCTTCCTTTTGAGGCTAAACGATCTCACTTGTTCAGACTATATTCCACATCCCTCGAAATTCCTAAAGACAAGAAAGTTAGGTACTGTGAGTTCTGCCTTCTAAACAAAGCATTCTCTATTTTGCGTGAAATGTTAAGATAAAGGCAGATTTGCTCGGGCAGAGCAGGTCAAATGCCTACAGAGCTGCACTCCAAGACACGGACATTTTCTGCGCGCAGCGAGAGGCCATGTGAGCTGGTTGGCCAAGGGCAAGTATTTCAGACGTTAGTCACTGCATCCTGGCTTTGAGGAGACAGAATTTTGGCAATATGCTAAAAAACCAGGGAAAGTTATGCTCTCATAACCCTGCGGTCGGTGTTTCCTTTTGCTTTTTTTGGCATTTCCACTACCATGAGGAGTCATTTCATGTATGTGGGCTGCTAAGGGCCGAACCTTTGCGGAACTTCAACACAGAGACTTTGCAGCCGCACTGGTGGAGACAAATAACTCAGCTGGTTTTAGGGGTTATTAATTCTGGAACGTGTTAACAGAGGGCGCAAATCAGCATTCACCCCCTTTAGGAACACGTACACAACTTTGCAAGCGAAACGCCCACCCTCGCCGGAAGGCGCGAAAGCCGTGGAGCTCTGGGATGACTCCGCATTTAAAACCCTGCCCTGAGTCCAAGAGCGCCAGGGGCCGGCTGCTGGGCCACGTGACTGATCCTCCTCCGCGGCCATTCCTAGCGAGGCAGCCCCCACCGCCCCTTCCCCATTTCCTAGCTCCTCCAGCGCGGGACGGCGCAACAACGCCTGACAAGAGGCGGTCCCAGCAAGCTTTGAACTCGAGTGTCAACAAAACTCACGCCTTTCCGGGAAGGGTCTGCAAGCGCCTCATCCCAAACGAGTTGCCGCAAACTTCCGCCTGGGCGCCAACCACGTGATCACGCGAGACTTGGGGAGGCGGCGGTCCGATTTCACTACTCTAGTCCCCGGGCTCCGCCTGCCCAGCACCCTCCACGGCGCGTGACGACGCGCCTCGCGGCCGCCACCGCCCCGGCGCGCCTGCGCACGCGGTTCTCGCGGTGTCTCGCGCTCAGCCCCGCCCACCTCTTACCCCGCCCTTTCCGCCCCTCCCTCCCCCTCCGCCCTGTCTCTCGGCGGCAGCGGCGGCGGCGGCGGCTCGCGCAGCTCGTTGGCTCACTATATAAAGGGGAGAAGCGGGCGGACCGGACGGCTGGAGCTGCAGCCGGTGGCGGCAGCGGCGGCGCGGGGAGCGGCGACCGGTGGTGGTTTCCCTCCTGGGCGCGGGGTGGGGAGCGGGCAACGCCCCCCGGACCCCTGAAGGGTCCTGGCTTTTTTTTTTTAAGGGCGATTCTCGAGGTTTTTAGCTCCGGGAGGATTGCCCCCCTCCTCCTCCTCCTCCCCTCCTCCTCCTCTCACCGCTCCCCTGCACTCCTTCAGGATCCGATTTTGTTGAAAAATTTTTCCCCATCTTGCGGTGGCTTGGGTCACCGCCCGGGTGTTTCGGTTTTTGCTTTTGCTTTTTTTTTGGTTTTGTTTTGATCTTGTTTTCTCGGGGTTGCCCCCCTCTTGTTTGTGTTGTGTGTGGAAATGGCGAACTCGGCAAATACAAACACCGTGGTAAGGACGTGGTGCGCTGGCCGGCGGGGGCTTCGTCCGGGCGGCAGCAACGGCCGGACCGGGCGGGGGCGGGGACGGCGGCGATCCCGGCCTCGACTCTCCTCAGCCGCCCGCGCGGCCGCCCCGCCGCCGCCGCTTCCCGCCTCGGGCGGAGCGGGCCGGGGCGCCGGGCGGCGGGCGCGGGGGGGCGCCGAGGGCTCGCGGCGGCGGCGGCGGGCGGCGGGGCGGCGGGGGGCGGGGGCGCCGGCGGGGCCTGGGGCCGCGGAGGCGGTTGGGCCGGGGCGAGCGCGCGGCCCGGCCCCAGACCCCGGCCGCCGGGCGGGAGGGCGGGAGGGGAGCCGCCGCCGCCCCCCGAGGTGGGCCCGGCCGCGCCGGCTCGAGAAGGGCTCCCCGAGCCGCCTCCCGACAAAAACCGCGTCGGGGGAATTGGGTGAATCCCCAAGACCCCCCTTGACCCACTTGGAAGGTTAATGGCTACTTCAGGGGGTCCTTGGGGGTGTTTCTGGCGGTTGTGCTTAGGGAGCCTTCACTGGGGCCATTTTATGTTTTTTTTTAAAAAGGACGAAGGTTGAAAAGCACTTATCTCGGTTCCTTCCGAATCGGTAAAATGGCGAAGGGGAAGCAAAACCCCCATCGTACCTGCGACTAGCAAAAGCACCAAAACAAACAAAAAAAAGCCTACAGTGGTCAAAGTGCCCCCGCTTTCGCCTTGAAATTTGCCTACTTGTCCCCGTTCGTCCCTTTTTGGTTACTTGCGATCACGTAGGTTTGCAAAAAGCAGTCACATAAATAACCTTTTCAGTCACCAACGCAATGTGCTCACTAGTCCACCCCACTCTCGTATTTTTTATTTTGACCCTAAAACACGTTTTTGCCCGGTCCCGCATGCCGCAGACCAGCCCGCGGCCGCCCGACTCCGTACCGTTGGCGACTCGGGTCGATCCATCATGGCTGCGGCCGCGTACCCAGCTTTTCAGTCCCTGAGCCTTGTGGTCCTCCTCCCTTTGGCTGCCCTGTTTATATAGAGCCATTGCCGCTCTCTAATATAGACTCTGCCAGGATGGGAAGGTGCTTTTCAGGCCTACGTCACCGCCTCTCCATTTAAACACCAGATCCGGCTTTAAATAGTGAGAGCTGCTGAGAGCGGGGCTGGGAGGTGCGTGCTCCCGAGGCGAGAGGCAGGCGCGTGCAGAGCTCAATTTATTTCTGGGTCCTTTCCTTACACTGTCATGTTCGCGCCCAAGGGGGCTGCCTTCAGAGCCCCAAGTTTTTGTTTTGGTGCCGCAGCTGGGACTTGCCGTCTTTGCTAGGGGAAAAGAGAACTGCTGTCTTTTTTAATTTTCCTGTTCTTTTTGTTTTTAAAGAGAATTTTAGCTCAGATGTCCAGTCGTTCTTGTATTAGAAGATGAGTGCGTTGTCGGGAATGAAAAAAATGGTTTCTACGTTAACTGTTAGCTGCAGAGGACTTGACTTTGGTAGTACTGTGTTCATCAAGTGTTTAGGAGATGTGTTAGAAATATAGCTCTTAATATTTCATTATGTTTTCGCATAATAAATATCGGAGACACGAAGCTTTTCAAAGAAATAGATGAGTGCCTCGGGCTTCAACGTAGGACCTCTGTCCACAGTACATTTCTGGATAGGGGAAATGTGAGTGATGAGAGTGAGGAGGCTTATAGTGCAAACTGGGTTTTAAAAAATTGGAATTCTAGGTAGACGAGGTTTTTATTGCGTTGGATATTAGTATGATATCCAATATAGAAATTAATCCAGTATGTTTTCCAGTATCGCTTCGGGGACTAACATTTTGAAGGGAACCTTCTAATGAATCATTAGATAATGCCACTAATGGCCTCTTAATTTACCAGTTTTTGAGTTTGAATGTGTGTTTTTTGAAAAGCAGGACAAACCTCTTAAATTACTTTCTATTTCGTAAAAGGCGAAAACTTTGGCGCAAGGAAAGTTTAGCAGTTTAAATAATAATTTGGAAATTGCGTATTTCAAATAGTGCCTGTGTACCCACTTACTTTTAAAAACATCAGGATTTTGAGCACTTTTCAACTTATGAACAGTTCTGTTAAATTATTCTTTATGTGTATAGTTCATGAAGAATAAACATTTCCCTTCTTTCAACTCTAGTGCTTATGAATCCATTAAGTCATTAAGTTTTGGGTTAATTATGGCACAAAAACAGAATCTTAAAGCAAGGTTGATTCATTAATTAGGGAGTGCCAGAAGAAAGCACATTTGTACCTGCAAATGTCTAGATCTCCAAGCAGAAGATTTTTAGGGGTGATGAAGACACCTAGTTTGCTGCAAAAATAATTTATATCATCAATTTAAGTTTTATACCACCAATTAAAAATTACAGTGCCTCTTTGTAATCCCTTGAGGAAACATTGGTTTTAAAAACAACACTTTATAAATGTATTTTTGTAATTCAGTAGTTAAATTGCCCTTAGGCAGATATACTTTCCTTATATATAGAATCAGAATGTTAAAATAAGGAGACAGTGTAGAGATGCACATTTTACGCATGAATAATTTAAAGTTCACAGAAGCAGATTTGGCAAAATAAGACAAGTTAGTGAGTGGAACAGCAAAGGCGAGAACCCAGATAAATGAGTTATTTTTCTGGTTGTAATAGAAAAAAGAACAAATAGTTTTTAATGGTTGAGGTAAGTTTTATGGAGGAGGTCATTATTTATATTTTTGACTAGGCAAGGACACATCTTCTTAGTGGGTTCCCTTGTGATAACAGTTTTGGTGATAGAGATGCTATTGAAACATTTATTTCGTTTGAAGTTTGCCAGTGAGAGCAAATCCTTAGTTTTATTGGGTAACCTGTAACTTTTACCTTAAGCAAGCTAAAACACAAATAATGACAAAGCATTAAAAGGAAAAGGCTATTAAGCTTAACTCTGTGATAATGGATAGGATTTATAATGAGGCAGCTCTAATCATTCTAACATGCAAACTGTGTTTTGTCTAATGTATTAAAAATAGGATATGGGTTGGGCAAATTGTTCTGTCTCCCACCTTTTGAAAGGTTTTTAAAAAATACTTTATACTTTTGAAGGTGTTTTCATATGTATTCTCATTTTATTCTTCTGGCAACCTTCTAGAAGCAATACCAATAATAATAGTAATAATAATAATTTAAAAAAGAAACGTTGAGGGTGTTCATGATTCTGTTCCATAGCATCATCTGGGCAGTAGTAGTAGAAGGAAAGAAATCCTGGGAAAGAGATCAGTGCGCCTCGTTCCTTTGGGACTCTGAGACCTGTTATTATGGGTATATGAACAGCTTTGTGGTATAGATTAAATGTACAGCCTGGGTAATGAAAACAGAAATTAGATAATTTTTAGATTTGAGTACTCATTAGGTTGCAGATTCCTACCAGACAAATGACTGCAGGACGTAAGATTCTCTAAAGTCTAAGACTTAGTGATGAGGTTATGAGATAGAACAGGGGTCAAACCAAGCAAGGAGTAATAGGAACTAGACATAGCAACCCATAAAGCTGTTACTGGATCACATTACAACAAGGAAATTATAACTGGAAATTGTATGGACCTTGTGTGTGTAAGGACCCTCTGCATATGAATTGCATTAAATAGTCTTAAAACTTCTATTAAAATACGCAGTCATCCAGTAATCCCTTTTAACTAAGGCAAATGTTTATTAGGATGGCCATATTTTTAAAGTTATATCTTCTAAAATAAGTTTTCTATAGTTGGGAAAATGACTGTTACATTTAATATGTTAGGAATTTGTGAAAACATGTTTTTTAATAGGTGAAAAACGATCATCTTCAACAGTCTTATTTTTCCTTTAAAGCCTAAATTATACAGATCTGTGATTGAAGATGTTATTAATGATGTGAGAGACATCTTTTTGGATGATGGAGTCGATGAACAAGTTCTGATGGAACTAAAAACTGTGAGTTTGCCTTTTTTTTAATAGTCATACTTTTTTTTTTTTTTTAACATTTTCTTCAGCCAGAGACTAATCCGTAATTTTTCCGTAGTTTGAACATTTGACAGTTCTGCAGGAAGCAATATAGTTAAGTGAAGGGTGCTGGTTTTAAAGCCCAAGTCTACCATCCACTCTTCCTTTGACCTTAGACAAACTACTTAATATTTCAGTGTCCTTATATGTGAGATGGGAATTAGTACTTACCTTATAGGTTTGTTTTGAGGATTAAGTGTAATA